TGTTGGTACCTGGAATAGAATCCAAGAACTCTAGAAGAGCAGCCAGTGCCACTCCCCCACCCAGAGTAATCTCTTAAAAATATAAATTTGGTGGTGCCAGGGAGAAGGGTCAGTCAATGGAGCACTTGCTGCACAAGAAGACCTGAGCTTGGATTTTCAGCATCCATGTTTAGGCATGGCAGCATGAGCCTGAAATCTCAGTGCTGGAGACACGAGACAGGAGAATCCTGCATTCTGAGGAGATACAGCATTTACTTTGAACCTGTGAGATAAAGATAATGATGGCCATACCTTCAGTAGGAGGTCTGGCGACATTTTCAATGTGGTTTTGGCTTGCAGACTCCTTGGTAGATTTTATTAAATTTTCAATTTGATTTTGGCTAGCAGACTTCTTGGTAGATTTTTTAAAATTTTCAGTATGGTTTTGGCTAGCAGACTCCTTGGTAGACTTGCTTACAATTTCAGTTTCATTTTGACTATTATCCTCTTGGGTAGATTGTGCTAAATTCTCAGTTTGGTTTTGGTGGGAAGACTTCTTGATAGGTTTGGTTACATTTTCAGTATCACTTTGGCTATCAGACTCCTTGATATTCTCAGCAGCTTCCTCTTTTGGAAGGGGAGGTGTATTTGCAGCTTCTTTTTCTACAACTGCTGTCAGTGTAGAATCTAAAAATCCCAAAACAAACAATGTAAGTCATGTTATGGCCAGCAATATAGAAACAACTAAGGTTTGTACAAACAACATTGAACAATGAATTTCTCAATGAGCAAGGTGTTTCCCCTTTATCCTGAAAAAAAATCTACACAGAAGAACATCATTGAAAGATTCCTCATAATATGGTCAGTGTTTACCACTAACAAACAAGGCGGTTCCTGAAGAGCAAATACTCCCTAGGAACTGGCTGGATCTTGTGGACGGTAGGGCCAGATGGAGCTATCACCGGCCTGAGGCCAAGCAATCTGCCTCTGCATTTACCTACTAAACAAAAATGATTTCTAATCTATTCATTACTGTGAAAATGTATCTCTTCATTAAAATATGTATTGTTAAGAAGCAGGTACTATATGAAACAAAACAACTTTAAATAAATGTATGTATGACTGGGGAGGCAAATAGATTTCAGCTTGTGTATGTGTAAAGCCTGGATAAGCAGTCAGCTGTAGCTGCCCAGTGACTGTTCTGAAAGCATGTTGACTTTTTGAGGGGTGGGCGAGAGCTACTCTTGTTTCCCTGAGGTGTGGCAAGTTTAACTGACAACCCAAGGCCTATTAACTCAGCTCACCTGATCTCACCTCACCACAATCACAAGTGATTTTTCTGACCCTGATCTCTGCTTTGAAAGCTCAGTTTGAAAGTATCTGCTTTTTTTTTTTTCCTGGCCACCCACGGTCTGGGTGTCATCTGTAGGGATGACATTGAACATGGAAATGTCCTCTATCTGAGTCTTCTCACTATTCAGTTCACTAAGAAGTGCTAAATTCCATTTCATTGTCAACTCTTTCAACATGCATCTGCTAAAAATATGGACATTCTCTTTTTATCCATGTTCCCATCAGTATATCTAAGGAATGAACAATTCCACAATGTCCTCTGACATACAGTCCCCTAGTAAAAGTCCCATGTTCCCCCTTTTGATCTGTTTCAGGTTGTTTTTATGTCATACAGTCTCTTTTGAATGACAGCACTTGTCCCATCTTTTTGGTTTCATGATATTGACTCTGAGTGTGTGTGTGTGTGTGTGTGTGTGTGTGTGTGTGTGTGTGTGTGTGTGTGGTGCTGGGGACTGAACTCAAAGTCACATGCCTGTTGGCCAAGGGCTCTCCACCTGACAACACATCTACCCTGACAATGACTGTGTTTGAAGAGACCAAGCCAGCTGTGTTGTACAACGTCTACAGATGGGTACACATCTGTCAATTATGTCTTCTTGGTTAGATTCGGATAAAAGACTTTGGACATGAATTCTCTACAGTCACTATGTCCATTACACTCTGTGAGAAAGGCACTCGGTGGTAGACAGTCTTACCTTTGATGAAATCTTGACTATTTAACTAAGGTGTCAGATACTGAATCTCCAATGGACATGGATATTCATTTTACTTGTTGTAATTAATAAGCATGTGAGTTATTTTGAGATCATGTGAATGTCCGGTTCTCAAAAAAAACCTTTCATTAGTCCTTTGGTTAGTCAGATCTTCTAAATGCTGTTAGGCACAAGAAATGAATCTGAAATTCAATTTCTATCTTGTTTATATAACTCAGACATATCTGTAGTGTGCAGGTAATAATAGCATGTTCTGTTACCAACTCTCATTAAGACAATGGATGGTAAGAACTAGCCACGTCCTAAGGGGTCATATTGGGTATGACTCAGTTCAGGTGAGGTGATAGGAATAGTAATCATATAAACGCCTTACCTGAATGAAGAGCCAGATCAGATGCTTTGGTTGTGGCTTCATTTTTCTTTGTAAAAGGAGGCAGGTTTTTGGAAAGCTTCTCCAGATAATTATACTTAAAGGAAAACCCACAGATATATATTTATTTTATGTAACTGTCACAAATATGTTAGTTAAGTTGACAGACAATGCTGACATGGCTCTGAAGATGAGTTGAAAACTAAAATTCAGTGAGAGACTAATTGAATTCTAGTCTTTGTTTTTTTGGAATTTCATCTGGTTAATAGCAGTACCCTGAATTTTCAAGAACTCTAGGGCATTGTGGACACACGAAAGTGTTCACTTTGCTTTGAGGTTTCAGTGAGAGGCAGTGAGGGACCCTGAGGGGCAGTGAGGGACCATGAGGGTCAGTGAAGGGCAGTGAGTAGCAGTGAGGGACAATGAGGGTCCATGAGCAGCAGTGAAGGGCAGTGAGCAGCAGTGAAGGGCACTGAGGGTCCATGAGGGTCAGTGAAGGGCAGTGAGCAGCAGTGAAGGGCAGTGAGGAGCTGTGAAGGGCAGTGAGGGTCCATGAGGGTCAATGAAGGGCAGTGAGCAGCAGTAAAGTGCAGTGAGGGGGCAGTGGCAGTGAAGGGCAGTGAGGAGCTGTGGAGGGCAGTGAAGGGCAGTGAGGGGCCATGAGGGACCATGAGGGTCAGTGAAGGGCAGTGAGTAGCCGTGAGGGACATTGAGAGGCAGTGAGCAGCTGTGAAGGGCAGTGAGGGACAGGGAGGGGCCATGAAGGGTAGTGAGGGGCAGTGAGGGGCAGTGAGAGGCAGGCTAGTGTGTGGCTTAGGGTCTTCGGAGTGGGCTCACATGGAAGAGGAGAATGTTGAATGTCTGTGGACTTCTAAGAACTTGCAGTAGCTAATGGTATTTTAACTGTTGATGGCTGAGGGAGCTCTAATGAAATAAAGCTATAATTAGAGTTTGTTAGCAGTTGGTAAATCAGTGAGGACTTGGCCCAAAGAAGGGAAGAGACAGAATGGCTAACAGTTGCATGCAAGGGGGAAGGAAGCAAAAGAGATACACGCATGGAGAGTTTCCCTGTCACGTGATCACACGTTTGAAGCACGAGAGTTATTCGGTCAGATGGTTGCAATAGGCAAGTAAACAGTATCAGGAAAGAGAACCTACAGATTAACATGCAAAGCATCATTTTATAAAGATTAAATTATTATGAATTACGTTCAATTACCTGTGACTTAAATAGTGGGCTCAATTCAGACTTAAAATAAGGTGTGACTTCTTTGGTCCTAATTTGCAACAAGTAATTTCGTGTTTTCTCGATATTTTCTCTGGTTCATATTTCCACAATGATATACAAAAGAACACACAGAAAACACATTGAAAAATTATTTTGCTTTAGCCCCAAATCCCCCTGGAAACCATTGCACTCACCAACAGTAAGACTGAGAAGGGAAAACTCACTGGACTCTTTTTTTTTTTTTTTTTTCCTCTTGAGATAGGATCTCACTATTTAGTCTTGGCTGGCCTGGAATTGGCTTCGTACACACACTTGGCTTAAACACACAGAGACTCACCTGCCTCTGCCTTCCTAGTATTGGGATTAAAGGTGTGCACCACCCAGATTCTTTGATTTGGGGGTGGCCTGCTCACTTTTTACTTCTAGTCACATTTCTTACTTTGTAAATCAGATTCTTATATGAGACAGGGACTAATGATGCCAGTTGATCTCAAATGTCTAAAGCCAAGGTCCCTTTCCAGTGCCTGAGTGTTTTTTTTTTTTTTTTTTTTTTTTTTTTTTGAGGTTGTGTGATCCTCTGGAGTTGAAGTGACAGCCACAGGCCTCCATAATTACAGCAGCAGGAGCAGCCACACAAAACAAAGAGCAGAGTCCGAGAGGTTGTTAGGAGGTAAAAGAGCAACACGACTCTGCTGTGAGTTGACTTTTCCAAATCAGAATGCTTCCACTGGGAGGCGATCCTCGGGGGAGGCCAAGGAGCTCTAAACTGGGTTACTGGGTAAGCCTTGTCATCTCCATTTTATAGGAAAAACCTCGAGGTGCAGGAGACTAAGTACTTACTCTAAAGCATAATTAATACAAGGTGGAGCCGAACAACAATCTGGGTCATACAACTTTAAGCTCGTGATCTTGACAACGGTACCTTCTAAGCGACAGTCAGTCATCCTGGCTGATCATCTTCATATTTTTTAGATAAGCAAACTGAACCCCCGAAGTGAAATAGCCAGTTGGCATAGTAGAGTCCACCGGGAATCATACTTCAACTGTCCCTAGACACACTGACTCTGAGACCCGTGACCATACACAGACTGCATGCCCAGAAGGACTGTGAAGTACAATCGGTAAGCCATCTTGTTTAAATGACTTTAATCTGCCATTAAAATGCCTTCTCTCGGCCCGGCGGTGGTGGCGCACGCCTTTAATCCCAGCACTTGGGAGGCAGAGCCAGGCGGATCTCTGTGAGTTCGAGGCCAGCCTGGTCTCCAAAGCGAGTTCCAGGAAAGGCGCAAAGCTACACAGAGAAACCCTGTCTCGAAAAACCAAAAAAAAAAAAAAAAAAAAAAAAATGCCTTCTCTCTCCTGACTCACGGGACTTCCCCTTCAAGCAGGGCAGTCTGGCGGTGGGTCACGGCTCTCTTACGATTTTTCTTATGAAGGAAGCAACGAGCCTGGTAATTGAGAGGCCTACATTCCTTTGTTCCAGTCCCGGTGTTGATTCTTCTATAGGAGCTCATATTTGCTGTGCACCTTTCAAGTCCCTGACATACTGGTTTCCTTATACTCAGCCCACGTTTCCTGTTCTCACTTTTTTCTTTTCATGCCACACATTCAATTATGTGTCTCACCTTCCCTAGCTGTGATTAACCCCGCACACGTTAAAATTTTGAATTGTGACTATTTCAGTTGTTAAAAATAATGGGCAACTCATGAATCAGCACAGAATTTAAAAGGTGTTAAAAGAATAAGTCCATCGACCCTTAACAATTATATATGTGCGCACAGAGATTGCACAAGAATGGGCCGACAGGGATGGAGGAGGGACTCAGGGGGCCCCATGCCTTGCTCATTAGACTAGGGAAAGGGGAGACAGTGCCTTTGCTCCTGTACCTACTGATGACCCTGCCAAGCTCTAGTGGATAGTCCCCATCCAACAGTCACATAGATAACTCTAACTAAATGAGTGACACAACAAACCAAAGTCATGACTCTGAGATGGGACAGGGAGGGAGGAGGGGGGCTAGGAGGGGGAGGAGAGGGGTAAGAGTGATGCAGGAAAAACAGTAGCCAGAATGCACTGAATACATGTATGGAGTTGTTACAGAACTTTAAAAAGTCATCATACTAATTCTCATCATTTTTGGATCATAATGATATTCTTATTTTTATTTGCCATGTCCATTGTCTTATAGCTGTAACAATTTGAGATTGGTAATAAAATTTAAAAGTACATTAAAGAAAAAATAAAATCAAGTCTCCATCGCCTATTGTTCCCTGAACATCCAGGCTCATTCCCCATTGATAGTCTCACACATTGTTTCTAGGCCAGAAAACCTAGAAAGCATTTTTCCTACCCTTTCAATGAAGCAGGTCACCAGGCTCCCAGGAGTGGTACCCTTCCTATGTGAAGAGGAAAGGAGCATCTCTGTCTGGAAGATGGAGGGATGCCTGACTATCTGAGCATCCAGGCCCCATTGGTTTCTCCCAGTTTACTACTATTAGGTAATACTCTTGTGCCATCATATTTATTCCTGGCTGTCTAGTAATCAAATGGGGCATAGAGCTATGCAGGCCCAGTCTTCTCTTTGAATCTTCATTTCTTTATGACATCCCCTGTCTCACATTAAACTTAAATAAATCCATATTTATTTCCTCTGACCAGTCTGTCTTTTGTTATAGGGTTCTCAGCCAGGGACCTAAGATGTGTAGGAACAAATGGTTTTCTTCTACTACAAACAGCATACACCCTCCAGTTCAATCTTGTAAGTGGGGAAATAAGTCTTATCATTCCATTTTCCCAATATACTCCAAAATGTAACCCCAACACCTTCATGAAGGTGATGTTTCTGAAAGGAGCAACCCATGTGTTGTGGAATATTAGTTGAAGATGTGTTACATTTGTTTATGCTGTGGAATATTTGTGTGATGGTGCAAAGATGCATTTCATTCTTTTATGTTGCATTTGTTTAACTCTGTGAAGCTGTGTTACTTTGCCTGTCTAAAACACCTGATTGTCTAATAAAGAACTGAATATCCAATAGCTAGGCAGGAAAGAGAAATAGGTGGGGCTGGCAGGCAGAGAGAATAAATAGGAGGGACAGAAAAGAGTGGAGCGAGAAAAGGAGGAGGAGAGGAGGATGATAGGGGCCAGCCCCCCAGCTACACAGCCAGACATAGAGTAAGAAGTAGTGAAAAGATGTACAGAAATAGAAAAAGGTAAAAGCCCAGAGGCAAAAGGTAGACAGGATAATTTAAGTTAAGAAAAGCTGGCTAGAAACAATCCAAGCTAAGGCTGAACATTCATAAGTAAGAAAAAGTCTCTGTGGCTTATTTGGGAGCTGGGTGGCAGGCCTCCAAAGAGTAAAGAGTGAAAAGCAACCAACAACACTTATGCATAAAAATGGCCACCCCACCCCAGCTACATAAACATATTTGGCTTCCTTTATGGATAAAAAGCTAGAGTTAAATCTTAAGCTCAGACTGGAGGAAAACAAACATCATGACGCTCAGGACACATTCCTGAGGCAAACAACATGAATCCTGAGTGTTATGACTAATTCCCAAAGTGTTCATGAGTATATTAGAATCACCAGAAGCACGAAGGGTGACCACCAAAATCCACTGCAGGAGATGGGGCTATCGACATCTACCCAATGGCCTAACAGGCCTCCTCAAGTGCCACCTTGACCTGTTGAAATGCCAAGGAGTAGCTGGGAGCCTGTGGGACCTTGTAGCCTACTGAACTCAGAGATTCCGGAACTGGGCTTTTCACAGGCTTATGTCTACACTGGGGCAGAATTACCTCTGTTCCTCAAGCTTTTCTTTCCAGCTCTTTCCTTGTGATGTATCCCTATGTGAGAAGAAGAAAAATGTGGTGAACCGGGCAGTGCTCTCGAGCGACAGAGCAGCAGCAGCACTACAACAGGAGAAGGGCCACAACTATCCCCACACCTCTGCATCCCCTATGTGTACACTAACTGGGACATATATCCAGTGCAGCTTACCTCCATTTCTTCTCAAAGTAATCTTTAGTGAATGCTTCTGGTGAACATTTTGGAGTCAAAGTTATAGATTGCTTGAACAAATCTGTTAGGTGGGCAGCAACTTTAAAAATAACACGTTTAGTGTTAGTATTGACTTCTTTATAACATTTCTTCATTACACAATTAAATTTATTGATTGTTTTGGAGGATTTCTGCACCCAAGCTGTAACAACCAGACTACTTTCCATGGCATGTTCTGCTAGTGAACATCATTTTTATGATCCAGACATAAATACTTTGCCCTATATCACTAGGGAAGCTGCATGGCAAGGGCCTGAATTTTCTCATATTAAAACAGATTGGCCATCATACTGAGGTTGTTATTCTAAACATGTACCTATTATCCAATTCCAAAGAGCTGAATATCATACACTTTTAAAATTTGGGTGATAGTGCTCAGAGTTTGTCTATAGCATACGGTTTCAGTGAGCTGTCATTTTGTCAGAGAAAGAATAGGATACCTGGTCAAGATAAGAAAACTTAGAAAACACTGATGTAGACAAGGGTAAGTAAGTTTTCTTCTTGTGAGACTTTTCTGTACCCTTAATTAATGTATGTTGTAAGTCTTTAAGAAAGTGAGACAATGTAAAATATTATCCAAATCTGTGTTAGTGTAAAACTCATGCTTTTTGGAGGCATCCCCTTAAAGAACATCTTAGGAAGTACAATGGGAGATGCTGACTTTGTAGCATCATTGGCAATCAGCAAGGTCAGTTTTACGTATGCTGTTTCCTTCCTGCAGCAATTTGAGAAACACAATTTGTTTAACCATTACTATTGGGTGGCCTGTAGGTTTGCCTCTGTCACACATGCCTGATTTCTTGGACCGTATGTCACAAGCTCAAATAGCCCAGGGTCATTTTGTAAGATCAAATATAGGATAAATAAAATTTGCATTTTAGTTAAACATGCTTTCTAAAGGATAAGTATGTAGCATGCTATATTTGGGATATACTTACAATGCATATTATTTATTATTTATCCAAAATTAAGTTTTAACAAGGCCTTTTGTATTTATGTTCACTGGGAACTCTATTGCAGGGGCCAACTTGTGAAAGAGTGATGACAGTATCCAGACAGAGGAGTACTGGAGACTGTAATAGCCTCTTCCATAATGGCCCTCTAAAGGGGCAGTGGCTCAGCACTTCCAGTTAGATGTCACTGCTGGAATATGAAATCTTAAGAAGAGAAAAATCTAGATCAACAACAACAACAACAGTAACAACAAAACAAGAGTACAAGTCAATACTGTGTCTAAGGGTTTAGTGAAGCCCAAGGCAGCCAGCTTAGGGCCTCTGTCATATAACTGAAAGCAAAATCCCAGTAAAATTTCTAGTGCTGTTGCTGTGATATGACCAAGCTTGTAGGGGTCAGGGAGGTACTCCTTTGAGAGTAGCTGTTTGTTTTACGACATTCAGTGTAGAAGAGTGCAAGGTGTGGGCAATGTCTGGGCACTTGCTTGGCGGCTGTGTGCATTGTACATGGGGGCACTGGTCAGCTGGCTTCTTGCTAGTGGCTATTTTCTGTGGAGTTGAGGTAAGAGAGAAGGTAAAATACCAGTGGTTTTTTTTTTTTTGTTGTTGTTGTTGTTGTTTGGCAAAGGAAGGTTAAAGGTGAACTAAGGAGGGAATCACTGTTTTTCAGGGCAGAATGAAAACATATAAACCTTCGCAATAGCATGGCCAGGATAGGAGTGGAGATTGATTGATGAGGATTTGCTGTGGTATACAGAATGACAAACAAATATATTTAAGAAGTCCTTCTGAAATCTGTAGATATATTACAGAAAAATATCAAATTCCAGTTACCTTCAGTAACATGACTTTTTGTAGTTTCCTCCATTTTAGGGAAAGACTGAAATGAAGATTAGAATTACTTGATGTTAATTATATTACACATGGAAATACTTTGTTTAGAAGCATTCTTTATGTGCTCAATTTGACTTGTTATGGAAAAAAACTATAAAGTAAATTTGTTCTTCTTAAATACCAATATACAATTTATTTGAATATTTTGTTGCTTCATTATTTAATGAATTTCTAAGAATGGAAATAGTTTGGCCTATGGAAATTACTCTTTCTTTCACATTCATTAAGTTATTCAGTATTTCAATAAACATTAATTTCTTAGAGTAAAATTAGTAGTATATATTCATAGTAAAATAATAACATATATATCTTTTATTTGAGGATCTTCCAAATTCGCTGTGAGCAAAGGAATAGTCAAAGGAAGATATATTTGGAAAATTCAACAAATCCATAATCCAGTTAGCACAGAAAAAGTTAGGATGAGGATAAAGCAAATACTTCAGAACCTTGGCGGGTTCTCACACAGCTATTCCCTGTGCATTCTGTCTGGGAGCACCTGACAGTGAGAGAGGAGCAAGAACGCTGGTCTCCAGCCATTCTCTCACCATAACCAGCTTGAGGAGATCAGCAGCATTGCCTCTTTCTTCCTCCGTCCTGGAATCCTTGACGGTCATTTCCTGTAGCTCGTCTTCTTTCTTTAGAATATGGTTTATATAATCCTAGACCAGGACAGTCAAACAAATGGATAAAGATCAAGAACTTGGCAGAGAAGGAGACCAAGATAGTCAATGTCAACTTGGAACATCCCAAAAGGACTAAGGAGATAAGTTTCTACCTCTCCGCAATCAGTTAGCTGGTCAAGCACTGGGAAAACTTTTTCTCAGGAGGTTAATAGTGATAAGCCAAGTCCCTCTCTGCCCTCAAGAAAAGCTTTAAAGCCACAGGAGAGAACGTCACAGGGAGGGCCCTGCTTCTAACACTGTGCTGCAGCATCCTTTTCACTGAGATGGATAAACTGAGGTGGATGATTCCTGGTCTCTCAGTCTTGTCTCTATGATTCTGTCCATGGGTATAAGTTACTTAGTCCATGCCTTTGCTTCTAGATGAAATATATTCCTTCCCCATGAGTATTTGATCAACATCTATCAATATTGATCCTCTTCTCGATGCTAGGTTCTGAGCATATAACCATAAAATGCATATAATATCTATGCAGAGAGAGTTAAACTTAGAAAGATTCTATAGCTATGATTGCAGAACAAGCCATCTATTTATGAAGTCTTAGACCATTTTCAAAGCAGCAACTGTTTTCATCCATGAACAAGTATCTGATTAATATGTGGCTCTACATTTTCTCCAGAGAGTGTTGGCTTTCTGTGTAGTATGAAAGAAAAAATACTATATAGAAATTGTATATTGGTTTTGTTTTTCAAACTATAGCAACACCTTTGGGGCCTCTTAATGATTCCTATAACTTAAGCCTATATTAAGTTATAGGAATCATTAAGTATCCTCTACCTTTTAACCTTGTATTTTGGGAAACCGATATTCAAGTGTTATTCTAAATACCGGTAAAACTAGATGATTTCAGGCTCTTCAGGAGATGGACAGGAATGATTTGCTTTGTTCCTGATCTTTGGCGGGGGTGGATTGTCACATCACCAGGATTCTCTTACCTTAAGGGAAATCTGAAGCTTCAGTTTCACCTCATTCTTTATGACCTCATGCTGGATGAACTGACGCATCTGTAGTACCTTGGGGCCTTTGAGTATAGGGGCTGGGGCGTTTGTTAGCTGTTTAAACCCAATACAGAGGCCTTTCCAATTCTGAGTGCCAAATGGAGGTCCTGGAGTCTTTTTCTATAAAAAAAAAAAAAAGTACAGGTTTCACCAAAGAAGTCAGAATAGTGCAGTGATGGACTTTTTAGCCAAGTACTCTTATGTGAATACTAGATCAGGGGTGGTTATGGAGTTCCAAAACCAGTGGAGATCTGACTTTGAGGGATCCAAACAGACCAGGTTTGGTCACCTACGCCCTAATCCAAATGACCAAAGTAATGGTAAATTAGGAAAGAGATTCACCATTCTGTATGGCTACACTGAGAAGCATTGGGACTAGCATCTCATGCACCATTTTCAAGAAGCTAACAAGAGCTTTGGAGAGATATGAGGGAGGGAAAAAAAAGAAGGAAAAAAGAAGGTGAGCAATTAATATGTATGCATCCTCAGGCAGTCTTGATCCAAGTATGGTCTGGTTGATCATTAGCTCAGGATCAGAGCTTTCTAGACAATTAGAAGGTTGCTGCTGCCAGAGGTAGACTGGGGGTCAGGGAATAGTTTCCACTCATCTAGTTATTCCTGGAATCCAAAATGACTTTCAGAGACAATGGCTAAGAACAAAGGGTAAGTCAGAAAGTCAGGTGTTAATTCTTTTGGGTTTTGGACAGTGCCCAGAGATGTCTAGAGGTGCTGTTGCTGGGGAAAAAAAAAATCAAGCCACCTGGTGTGATGGCACCCACCTTTTAATGCTATCACCCCAGAGGCAGAAGCAGATGGATCTCTGTGAGTTCAAGGCAGGCCTGGTCTACATAGTTAGAACTTAATTCCAAAATTCCCTAAAACTAAGCAAGCAAGCAAGCAAACAAACAAACAAAAAACTTCACTCCAACCAAAGCAATCTGGGGAGGAAAGAGTTGATTTGCCTTATACTTTCAGGTCACAGTTTATTGTTGAGGAAAGTCAGGTCAGGAACTCAAGGAAGGAAAACTGGAGAAATGCTGCTTGCTCGCTCACCCTCTGCCTCACTCACTGACAGGCTCATGCTGCCAGCTTTCTTATATCGTCTAGAACCACCCACCTAGGGTTGGTGCCACCCACAGGAGGCTGAGACCTCCAGTATCTATTGATAGTCAAGGCAGTCCCCAGACATGCCAACAGGCTCACCTGATGTAAGCAATCCCACAATCAAGGCTTGCTTCTCAGATGACTCTAGACTATTTGATAATTAATGCTAACTAGGACAAGGAAGTTGTAAAACCTGGTGACCGACAATTTGTCTATTATGGTGTCTCTGCAAATCTCAAAAGCACTCTTTGGTGCTTCTAGCCTTGAAGGGGACGGTTGCTGGTTTTAGATGAAAGATCTTCAGATGATTACCATGTCTATATGAAAAGTTGAGCAGCAACATTATCCAAATTTAAAGGAGACAGATGCAAAATGGAGGCAGAGATGCCAAACGAACTAGCTTTTAGGTTGCCCAGTGAACATCTGAAGGGCCAAGTAAAGAGCCAGTCCTTTCAGCAGAAGTTGAAGCTATTATAGTACCACCTTCAAGGGACAATATGGTGCTGGAAAAATCCTCATCCTCACGGATCTGAGCAAAATTTCGTCTTTGTGTGTGCCGCTAACAGTCTCAAATGGGCATCCCTTCAGGAGGGCTGTGATTCTGCACATGCTAATTCAGCAACCATCTAATTCATGTCACATGAACGACGCTTTGTTTAGCACACTCAGATCACATAAAACATTTGGAGTCAGCAGCCTTTAACTTCCTGGTTCTGTGTGAGTTTATGTAGGAAGATTCTGAGAGCAAAATCATTCCATGGGTCTGGGCCAACTTTGAGCTCACTCTTGATGAAACCCACCTCCAGAATTTTCTAGTGGTTTCTTGGGAAGGAATGAATACCTAAGAGTGAGTGCAAATCTCTGTCATCCTAGTAATTGGCCTTCAGGACTGGTGTACTTCGCTGCCTTGGTGTTTGTTTTAAAAAAAGAGTGGCCAGTGACAACCACCCAGTAGTTTTCAGTTTGTAGTATAAGAGTTTCAGGTGAAGAGACTAATCTTCATTAGTCCAGAACGGGGCATATTTATCTTATCATCCTGTAGTACTTTCAGCTTTTTGACATTTTCAACTTTCAGAGAAGAATATTGTGGTCCAGTATAACCTGTTCTAAGATTCAGGACAAGACGTCATGGCCACTTTCATCTCATCGATTTGATTAGAGTCACCAAATTAAAACAAAGATGTAGGTGATTTTTGCTCATCCTCTCTGCTCTTGCTATAGCAGAATTTACTGTAGGATACTGCAAGTAAAAACTCAAAGACATTACCCTCCTCACTTAACAGCAATATGCTCTATGTTCACATTTCGGTGTCTTGACAGATTTCATAATTGAACACCATATGATGTGCTGGACATGTTGCATACGGTGGTATGAAACAAAATGACAATCTTACAAGATGCAGGATTTAGTGATGCTTCAGCAAAATGTGATTTTAAAACTTTAGGGTGGAGTTTCACTAATCTGGCATGATCATAACCACAGTATTTACTCGCTAACATTGCAGTTGCAAAATTCATGCAAAATTCTTTATTTCCCCTCTCTCTTTTTGCTCGATTTTTAATACATGAAGAAAAAACAGAGAGTTTAAGGCACCAAATTTTGTTTCTAAATTAATAGCTAAGAAATGACAGGGAAAGTGGTATAGTCTCAGGAAGTCCATGATAGATGAACTGTAACAGGTTATTCATAAGAGATGTTTTAATATTATAGGGAATATACCCAGGCTTATAATATAGAATAAAAAATGAAACAAATTAGTTAGCCTGTCATGGTCCTCTAAAAGTCTATGGCTACGTCTACAAATACTTAAAATCTCCAAATATAAAATTTCTTGAGCTCATTCATTATCTCACAGAAGGATGAAAATATATAAAACTACAGAAGACCTGAGCCTGAATGGAAGTGTAAAGAGAGTGACTTTATGGTCGGAAGCATATACCTCAACTGAAGGAAAATGTTCCCAGGACCTTGACTGGAGATTGGGAGGAACAATGGTGTCTAATTCCTTCTTCATTAGCCATGGTGATGCTTCATGGAAAGGGCGAAGGACTGTGATGCTCAAGGCACCTGGATTAAAGAGATTAGCAGAGGTCATTTCTCTACCAAAGTGATTCTGACAAGTTCAACGGGCATTAACCAAGTTCAACAAATACTTTTTTTTTTTTTTTTTTTTTTAAGAAGAAAGCCAAGAGGTCAGAGCTAAGAGCTAAAACCTTACCCTTCCTCCTGTGGTGGTCCTACCTCTCCAAACCAGAGATACCCCTGTGTTAAAGTCTTTATATATAGTTCCTGTCCTGCCTTCTCATTGGTTGTAAACTCAACCACATGACCGCCTCCTCACGGCCTGTCTGTATAGGCCTCCAGGTTTTCCATGATTGGTATTAAGATTAAAGGCATGTGTATCCAATAATGGCTGTATCCCTGAACACACAGAGACTTACCCAGCTCTGCCTACCAAGTGCTGGAATTACAAGCATACGCTACCACTGCCCTGCTTTCCTATGGCTTGCTAATAGCTCTGACCCCCGGGCAACTTTATTTATTAACATACAAATAACATTTTAATACAAATAAAATATCACCTTATTTCCCCTTTTCTATTTTAATAAAAAGGAAAAAAAAGAAAAAGCTTATAACTAATATAAGAAAAACTATATACAAAAGTACAATAACTATATACAATATATACAAGTAATAAATACCTAAACAATGTCTAGTCCATTTGTATTTGACAAATTCAGAGAAAATAATTTCATTATCTGTCAGATATGCTAAGCCTATAGGCTGAAGATGATGCCCCAGCACTGCGGAGAAACCTCAGGTGACTGTCCAGACAGCTGGCTGTTTCTGTCAACTCACAAATTTTTTGGAAGTTGCTTGCATGCACTTCCTGTTTTTATTTTTGTTAGCTAATATTATTTCCTTCTTGGGTCTCTGAGGGATTTGAAGATTAGTTAGTTATAGTTGAAGGTTAGTTAGTTATAGTTGAAGATTAATTAGGATACATTTTGGACTTACCAAAATAGGACAGATAACAAATACTTTTGAATGGCCTTTTACATAAAAACCTTAGTCAGGGACAGTGATTATGCTTTAGGGTGTCATTCTCTAAGATGAGACCATGAGTCAGTCACTACCTGAAAAATGGCCTCTAATCAACCAAAAGTATTCACTTTCTGTTCCTCAATAACCATATTTGGGTCAGGTCTGCCAAGGTGCCTTGACTCCATCTTCTTCTGCCTTCTCCACAGATGCAACACTCAGTCCTGTGCCTCAGAGGTATCCCGCCCTGGACTGAAGCAACAGCTAGCTTTTCTGGCAGGCTGCACTCTGGAGTGAACCTACCCTGACAGCCAGGTTGACCAGTGAGGTTCACAATTGATTAAACCTTCTTCTACCTCCCCTTGTTCAAAGAGTAAAGCAGGATCTTTGCTCACCCCTGCCTCAACTTGATCCATGTCTTCCTTCCACACTTCAGCCAGGTTTGGCCTTTTCCTATCCATTTTCAATTTGGTATAATTCTTTGTGTTTTCTTCTCTAAGAAACCCCTACCCCCAATACACACACCCGAATGTGCTAACAAGCTCTTGGGTCTCAGCATCTCCAGAGAAATTTTCTAGACAACCCCAGGTTTCTCTGTTCAAAGTTCTCATTGAAAAATATTTCTATTCTTCATAGATCTCATACAAAATTATAATTACACAGTTATTTGTGTGGCTATTTAATTAACACACATTTCTGTCATTAAATTTTAAGTTTTAAGGAAATAGGGTCTATGTTTGTTTTATCTCATTATGTACTCCAAAAACTAAATTGGTATTTGGCACAGGATAGGCTGCTAAGTTGATGCTATTTAAATGTTTAAAAATACTTAAGGAGAGTTCTTGCTGTCTCATAGTTTTTTGAGTCAGAGTCTTGCTATGTAGTTAGTGTAGGCTGACCTCAAGCTTGCAGTGGTCTCCTAGTTCAGGGGTTATTATATCACCATGCCCACCAACTTTACATAGTTTTTTTTTTTTTTTACATACACTGCATAACCAGTAACAGTCTTCTATTTTCCTCAGTCATAAGAATAAGGCATATAATGTGTACATGTATGCTGATACAAGCACAGGCATGAAATCATACTCTCAAGTTGACTCAAAATCTATACCAAAGTGTGTGCCTTTAATTTCATGCAATGATTTCTTTGAAATTGATAAAAATAATATAAACCCCCAACAAATATGTCATATAACATATACACCTCTGATTAGTAGTCTAACTGATGCAGACAATGTGTTTTCTTGTTGTATTCAGTTTGACAAAATATCACCTTAAAAATGATAATAGAAAAAAGAACTTTTAAGAAACCTCGTATTGTTTCTAAACAGGATGGAATGAACTGATAAAAAAAAAAAGACCTAGGCACAAGCCTGCTTAGGGCAGCAAAAGGCTTTCATTCTTGGCTTACACAAGTTGATTCTTAGACACAGTTGGAGATGAATATCATCTTCTGGAGCTATGTAAGTGGCCAGTTGGAGTAGTCAAGTGAGCAAAGGGGGCTGAACAGCAAGCGGATGAGAATCACTGGAGGACACAGGGAGCTGCAGGCAGCAGGCAGTCTCTACCTGGGTGTTCCTGGACTGGCTCCTGCAGAACCACAGTTGTTGATTCTCCATAGGCCAAGGATAAGTATTCTTCTATGTCACTGTCTCGGAGAAGTTCCACGCCAGACCCATCAGCATAGATCACAAAAAACCTATTTGAAGAAGTAAAAATCAGAACATTCGAGACACTCGGGAAAGATGCTTCTTGAATTTGGGATGGAGAATAAAAATCCTAGTGTTGTCAGTATCATTTTTACCTGGGAACATGTTCACCATAGATTTGCATGTGATTCTTTTCAAGGTGAATTGATGATAAACTATCATAGCCCTCAGTTTGTACATCGAAATCATCTTCTAATTTCTTTTTAGATAACATTGTTGATACAGAGCCATCAGCCATGACCTATGAGACAAGACATATGAGAAACTGAGGGAAAAAAATAACAAAGTGCCTACATTGCCACTGATCCAATGTGAGCAATCACATACTCTCTTGGATTATCAGAAAATCAGGTATGTTTAATTACACAGTATTGATATTATGTATGAATTTCATGAATAAAAGTGGAGAATCCCTAGCAGTACAGATGTACTAATAAACCACACCTAGACTGTTAGAACAAACTCTAACACATTTAGAAGAAAGTGACCAGGATTGAGAGGGGACTCAAAATCTTATCCTCGGGTGATTAGTTCAAGGGATGGAGAAACTGAACGTGAAGGAAAGACCACTCACACAATTGCTGTTTTAAAATATGGAAAGAACCTTTGAATAGAGAAAGTTGAGATTCAAGTACAGAACTGTAGGTCCCTGGTAGAGCCTATGGGGAAATAGGTTTAGGATGCATATGAGAGGCAGTATTCTAGTTATTAGTGCTGTCTATATCTGGCATGCACCTTTTCAGAAAGGAGCATGGCACAGGCTGCCCACTGTAGGTGATGTAGCCCTAGAGGGGTATCAGAAACACGGCTGGCAAGGAACACCCCAGACATTTCAATCTGGAGGGCCTTTGGCTTTCTGTTTCCATTGCTAGTCCTTGTCGATAGAAATTCATCTGTTCATGCACATGCTGTGAAAAGTCTGTCCCGTAGCAAAGAAAAGCATGAGCTAGACTAGGACTTGTCTGCAAACCAAAACAGCATGAGGGACTCTGTGCTTTTAGTCCAAATCTAAAAGCTAACCTCATACCCACTAGTCAATGGAGGACATTCCACTGTAGGGGAGGATTGGGGAAAAAAGATAAATGGCTAATTAGGGGGTGGTAAGGCTTTTTGGTCAAGGGTCAGAAGTAAATGCTTCAGGAGCTGCAGGCCAAACATTCTCTCTTGCAAATACACAGCCCTTCCACTGCTGAGCCCAATGCAGACAGAGAGAACACACAAAAGAACAGGCCCATCTTACAGTAATGATTTCCATCCCACCACTGGAATCTGAATTGTGTGTGCGTTTATAGGACGTGAAGTATTCTTTAGACTTTTTCAATATTTTAAATGTAAGACAAAGTATCTGAGGTCCTAATCTATATAGAGAGGGACACAATTTGCCAATTCCCAGACAAAGATAAGAGGACAATCATGTTGCTAAAATACAGATAGAGAAGAGCATCTCCATAGCACAGCCTAAGCCCTCCAGACCCTACCTACCCATCACTGGCCCTGCTAGGCCCTTCTCACCACAGACTGCCCTGGCGTCATAAAATTGCAGAATGCTTGCATCTGCTTTCACCTTAATCCCTACATCCTTGTTTGTGGTTGCATTCTTATTTTCCTTGCACTTCTCCAATTGCCTATTAACTTTAATATTTCTCTTGCCCAAATTATTATTATTATTATTATTATTATTTATTTATTTATTTATTTATTTATTTATTTATTTATTTATTTATTTATTTTGAGACAGGGTTTCTCTGTGTAGTTTTGGTGTCTGTCCTGGATCTCGCTCTGTAGACCAGGCTGGCCTCAAACTCACCGAGATCCACCTTCTTGCCCAAATTATTGAGATTGTTCTTCTCTGTGATAGTATACTTGAGGATCCAAGAAACTATACTGACATTCATGATTGGTTGCAGGGGGGCAGTTTCAATCTACATGAAACTTATCTAGTACAATACATCTCAAAACCAAGCTGTGGTAGTTCGTATGAAAATGGCCCCCACAGGCTCATTGGGAATGGTGTTATCTGAAAGTATTAGGGTGAGTGGTCTTGCTGGAGTAGGTGTGGCCTTATTGGAGGATATGTGCTAATGGAGGTGAGCTTTGAGGTTTCAGAAGGTTTTCTCACTTCCTGTTGCCTGCTGTTCTGGATGTAGAACTCTTAGCTACCTCTCCAGCACTGTGTCTGCCTGCATGCTGCCATGCTTCCTGCTACAACAATAATGGATTAAACCTCTGAACTATAAGCCAGCCCCAATTAAATGTTTTCCTTTATAAGAGCTGCCAAGTCCATGGCATCTCTTCACAGCAAAAAAGCCCTAACTAAGACAGAAGTCTGGGCTCTCTCTCCACTCGGATCTTGTACCTTACCTGAAAGGTGTTCCCCTCAGGATCCAGGACCTCACAGATCACCTCTGAGGTATGTTTCATGATGTACTTGCTGGCTCTCAGCTGCTCACGCTTCTGGAAGGGATTGTAAATATTACTGCTTGACTCATGGCAGTATGTAGCTGAACAGTCTCTATCAATATAAAGGCAGCCTGTGTTTGGGGGTAACACCTAGAAGGAGAAAGAAAAAAGATACTAAATTTTCTTGTGCAACTTGAGGGATTTGAAAGATATTTCCAGGACAAAAACACTGCCTAAGAAACAATGTAATGTTTCAAAAGGACTGCTTGTCAAGCGGGTATTTGTTCTGTGCCCTCTTATTTCAGACTTCCTCCATTTTAACTGAGGTAAGTACATGAGGCTCCATGTGAAATGTTTGGAGCCCATTGGGTGTTTTTTTTTCAACAAGAAACATCTTTAAAAGGGATAAATGTCCTTCAAAATGTTGGCTAGCCTTAGTCCTTCTGGTGGCTGACACAGTCAAATGGTAGCACTTATGTAATAACTTCTAGTTCCTTCTTTGAATTATAATTCATGTGCTGTAAATTCACCCCTTAGAAGTGTAGTATTTGGTAATGTTTTAGTATATCCAAGAACTTGTGCAACCATTTATACATGATTCTAGAATATTTACATCATGCCCTCCAGAAAGAACCCCCTGCCTCATTAGCAGTCACTGTATCATCCCTGGTCCCAATACTTGGTGACCACTAACCCATTATCTCTGTGGATTTTCCTCTTCTAGATTTTTCCATATAGCTGGAAACCACAACCTCATTAGCAGTCACTGTATCACCCCTGTCCTCAATCCTCGGTGGCCACTAATTCATCATCTCCATGGATTTTCCTATTCTAGACTTTCCATACAAGTAGAAGTATCACTATGTAGCTTCTTTCACTTGAAATAAGAGCTTCAAGATGCAGCAGCAGTTTGAAGCCTGCCGCTCATTCCATTTGCCAGCACAAGGACACCACCGGCTGATGGGACAACATGGGTGGAGACATCCCAGAAGGCCCCAGCTCTAGATGAAGACCTTCGGGCAATTAACAACTGCAGAGAGAGGGAGGTTCAGTCTTCTTCGGGGATAATGCTGATAGGTTGTCCAATCCCAAGTGATTAGCTCTACATACATATACATACAAGGAACACTAAACAGACTCCATGGGCTATACTTACATAAATACACACAGATGTATATATAACAATAACAAAGAAGAAGAGGTCATGAATTTGAGAGGGGAGAATAGGAGAAGCTGGAAGGGAGAAGGGGAAGGGTAGAAATAATGTAAACTCAGTATTTATGTATACAATTCTCAAAAAAAATTTCAATTAAAAAATCTGCCCTCAGCTGGGCGGTGGTGGCACATGCCTTTAATCCCAGCATTCAGGAGGCAGAGCCAGGTGGATCTCCATGAGTTTGAGGCCAGCCTGGTCTACAGAGAGAGATTCAGGAAAGGTGCAAAGCTACACAGAGAAACCCTATCTCAAAAAACAAAAACAAAAAACAAACAAAAAAATCTGCCCTCCTTCAGCTCTCCTGAATCACATGGGCCCAGTGTGTGCTTGGTATGTTTTTAACGGAGAAAGGAGAATGTCCTCCTCATGCATGGCAGACATGCCCAAAGGAATTTCTCTATTCCTAGGAGTCTGGCAGCTTCTGGGTGGAAGGGAATTCAGGCTACCAACACTTCTGATTGTCCATTAGCCAAGGCAACCTTTGGTGTCATCTTCAAGAGACACAGCTCCCTGACTCCTGACCTCTGGAAAGAGATTGTGTTCACCAAGTCTCCTTGCCAGGAACTCACTGGCCATCTTGTGAAAATCCACACTAGAGTGTCTATTCAAAGGACCCAGACTCCAGCTGTGACAAGCATATAGACTTTTTATACCAGAAAAATGAAGTGATTAAGTCTGCTTTTTTAAAATGATGCTTCTGCTTTGGGTGTGTGTCATTGCTAATGAACATCCACACTTGTATTTTCTTTCATTTCTCACTTTCAGCACTTACTTTGCCCCATAGCCATCTACACTGGATGAAGAGAGAAAATACAATGACCAGGGAGATGGGAAGGATACACCAGTTCAGCTACCGTCACAGTGACGACCATGTGTCCATCACATCCCAGCTTTCGGTTCTCAGCCTCTTATAACATGGTGTGTGATATTTTAGTTCATGTTCCTTCTCTAACACAGAAAAAAAGGGGTGGTGGTGGAAACCTTTCAAAGACTAAAGGTACTCTATGCTGACACCAGAATGCTGTGTTGGATAGGACAATCAGAGGGACTGGATAGGGTTGTGTTGCCCAGGACCAAGCAGACTGCCTGTTCCCTCATTTCTGCTGAGGAGTTAGGGGGGGACTGAAATCAAGTGGTGGAGGAGAAGGAAAGAGGCAGGTGGGTGTATGTCAGGCCACTGGAGTGATTCTGCCCCCACAGTGCACAGCGTGAGGATCTTCTTAGCCTAATCTTGACTCAATGCTACTAACTTTCCCCAACAAGCAGGACAATGTATTCCTAGAATGGGTTGAAAAAAGTGAAAAACCAAAGTGTGAGACGTGTATTCTAAGATCAGGTGAGTGACGAAAGCAACAGCAAGTGTCATTGCGGAAATTCCCACTGTCCCAGCAGAGCGTGCTCTGTTAGCAACAGGACATGCGCATTTGTTAGTCCTCATTTCCCAACTTGACCTACCTGATATGATCCCTGTGGCTTTGCAATAACAGACGTTCCATCCCCAAAGGTGGCACAGCAGCTACTGTCCTCGCAGTTGGTGATAACAGTGGCATAGTGTGAGCTTTCTATCCGCATACACTTCACCTGTCTGGTGACAGTCCCTGGACCTTCGGCTACAAGTAAAATGCAAGGTAAGGAGATTGGATGGGGTATATACAGTGGGCAATCAGCCTCAGGCTGTCTTCCTCATGGAAAAAAAGACCTGGGTGCTCTCCACAGGGTGAGAGTATGGCCTGAAATCCTTGTCAGTTCGGAATAGTTCTAGAATCTACTTTGATATATGATTTAGTATACTGTCTTATTAAGTATGTGGTTAATATTCTTTTTATTTTGAGAAGTGGAGATATTTAATTTTTCAAGTTAAAAATTTAAATTCATAAAATATACTCACAAATGAAAATTGACACTTGTTCCGAGCCTGTCACGTTGTTTCAAATTTATATGTTTATGAGGAAAATTGCAGGTAAAGTTGAAGTTTTCTCCTATGCCTAGGTTTTTGTGTTACAAGTCATTTTTATATTTTATATGAATATATGCTAAGAACAAACAACACATGAGATTTATGTACTTTAAATTTACATAAATTACATAAAAATCTTTCAAATTACATAATTACCATATCATTTTATACCCTTTTTTTCCCAACATTGTTTTGAGGTCTCTAACAATTTTTATTTTTGAGAGATGGTTTCATTATGTAGTAAAAACTGATTTTGACCTCTTGGTCCTTCCTTTGACAGGCCTGTGCTACCAAAGTTGGAGTCTCTAGAAATTGTGTGTGTGTGTGTGTATGCCATGTGTTTTTATACATAATATGTTTATATACAGTGTATTTGTAGTAAGTATGTGTGCTTGCATTAAGTGTGGGATTGTTTAGTGTATATTTAGTGCATGTATGTGTGTGTGTGTATGTGTGTGTGCATTTGTAGTTGTGTATGTATGTAGTTTCTTATCATCATGAAATAGTGTCCCTTTTAGGCATATAATACATTTTATTTTTTCCATTCTATCACTGATGAACATTTATATTTTTCCCAATATTTCAATGATGTGACATTGAAATATTGAAAATAGCATTCATGTACCTGTTTCATCAAGGGAATTTGTATAATAAAAGCTCAAAGTTAACATTTTATATGATATACATGTTATAGGGAGGGGTGGGGAAGTGAGGGTCTCTTAGGAAAGATGGACAAGATCTACTATGATAATATTGTATTACACAACAGAGATTTTCCAAAAAAGTAGCTGTTAGGTGTTCTTATTATATACAAGTTAATACTATAAGGTGATGGAGTTATTAATTTTCCTGATTGGAGTCATCATTTCACTGTTGTCTTAGAGACACCATGACCACAGCAACTCTAATAAAAGAAAACATTTAATTGGGGTGGCTCAGAGGTTCAGTCAGTTATCATCATGGCAGGGAGCATGGCGGCATGTAGGCAGACATAGTGCTGGCTGCATCTTGATCAGAGAGCATCAGGAAATGGACTGAAATACTGGGTGGTATCTTCAGCAAAAA